ATATTCTATGATTCTATGAAATGTTCCATTTTATCTGTAATACAAAGTATTCTACCTGCTACAATTAAAGAAATAAACTGATTTTTTAACAGTAATTGTATAGGTTTTTCATTAGAGTATATAACACTTTTTCATAACATTGTAAAAATGCAGGGCTGGAAGGGACCTTGAGAGTCATCAAGTCCAGCCCCCTACACTGAGGCAGAACCTAGTTTGTTTGTGAGCTCAATTTTGCTCACAAATTTTGCTTATGTTTTGTAGAGAACTAATAGAAACACTTGTAAAATAAGAGAGAATTCAGTGGACTCTTTGAATGCTCAGTTCTTTTGAAAAATCAGAACATTATTTCTTACTCATAGCAACATGTCTTTAGATTGCATTGAATTGTAAAAATGAGTCCAAACTTGCATGGGTCTTTAGGACAGAGATTATGTGCAGTTATGGCACACAGAAGCTTGATATAGAGTATTCACAAAGCAAAATCCAGGAGTTACAGCCTGCTCTAGGGAGTTACTGGTGGTATCCTTTTCCTTTTAATTTGTGCCTGGTGGATCAAGCATCCAACCTATTCTTTTCAGTTCACATTTTCACTGAAAGCTGCTCTTCACAGCCTGGGGGGAAATAAAAGTCTGGTTTCAGGACAACATGTTATTGAGCCCATCACCTTTATTTTAGATTTTGAATCTTAAATCTTATGCTCAAAAGTAAAGAGCTTTTCCAGGCTTCTATATTTAGACTTCTTAGCAACGTTTGCAGAGCCAGTGTACTGAATGGCAATAAGCCATGTGCACATTTGGGAGACCTGCCAAGTTTTCCACCTCTTTGATTTTTCACTCCTGTACCATCCCCCAGAGTGACTTAATACAGCCATATAATAGCTAAAGTTGTCTGGCTTTTCAGAAGTGCTGCAGAGTTTTACAATGAGATTTACAGCCAATTTATAATTCTTGTTGCAAGTGCTTTTGCACACAAAAAGTGCTATTTCCCTTTAAACAACTAAACTTGATTCCTCCTCTCCCCCCCCACCCCCGCCTCACTCCTCCCTGGTTTATTTCTCCCTCTCGTGTTACTGAGTTTAGCATATGTTAGAGATGTATAGATACATTACAGGAAAGGTGAAATTCTAACTATTTCTTCCTGACTTTGACAAAGTGTAGTGAAATCCATAAGCTTTTAAGCAGAGATTCAGACAACAGATGATGAAAAATACATTCATTTTCTATTTTATCAATAAAATTGCCCTGAAATGTTTCCTTCTGGCTCTGCTATGGGCAGCAGCATCAATAGGCAATACTGAAGGGCAGTTAGAAATAGCAGTTAAGGGGTCTCCAGAGAAGTAGGGAACACCTAGACTGTTTATATTATTAAACAATTTTGTTGGAAAAGCAGCAGTATAGCACATCAGTCTAAGGAAAAGGAGTCTGAAGGCTCATCCCTTGGGGGCATTATTTTTCATAACGGGCGCTAACAACCCTGTTTTTGTCTACCATAATAAACCTACTTCACAGCATCGCTACTTTGCTGAAAGAGATTAACCTATGTTAGCGGTGAAGAAATAAACCTTCATTGGCAGGTAAAGACTCTGCACATGAAACAGATGGGCTGGATCCTACTCTTTTGAAGTTAATGGGAGTTTTGTCATTGACTTAAATGAGAGCAGGATTAAATCCTAAATGCACCCAGCCCCCAAGACAAGTGGCTGGAGCTGTCCAGATTCTCCTGGGATGGAGAAGCAACAAGAGCAATGTCCAGGAAACCCCACATTGGACCAAAAGGACCTTCTTCTGACCCAGCAAGGGAAGCAGCTGGAGCTGCCCAGAGGCTCCAGCAATGAGGCAGAAGAAGTCAAAATGACAGCTCAGACTCTGCCTTGCCCTGACCAGAGGTGCCTCCTCTCTCCGCAAGGGAAGTAGATGGAGCAGTCCAGAGTCACCAGTGAGGTGGCTAGGGAAATCAAAAGGGACAACTCCAGCTAGCCCTGTGCCACTATCTTTAAACTAACTTTGTGACTGTTGGGGAAATCTCCTGATTAGATAAGTGCATTTATGCTTTAATGCCCTTGTGTTGTGTAGTAGTCCTCTTACAGTCAGTCCAAGGTCTGTGATGGGAAGGGTTGGATTAGGGGCAGAGAGTGAGAGAGAGCAGATAAAGGAAAGGGGGATGGGAGAGGAGCAAAAGGGAATTGTTGAACAAATGAAGCATATGCTAATCTTTGCCATAGTCATTATGGGGTGATAACTCTACGAGGCCGGCACCTATTTTGCTAAACCTCTATAAGAAAATACCACACCTTTGTGCACTTTATAAATTCAGCACATTATTATTATTATTAATAATGGGGTAATAGCCACATCCATATTAATAAAGACAAAAATCTCTTAGTAACAATATATAACTTCTTATGGTCCATATCAAATTGACCAACTTTCTCTTGCTCCCTGAGTAATATGTGGCATTGCATTTAAAATATAGTAACTGTCCATTTTTTAAGTAAAATATCTAAATGGTATATAGAAAGCATAGGGGAAAACACTTATGTTATTTTAAAAATAAGACTACCATAAAGATCAGCATCAGTGAGGATACAGGAAAAGTATTTAATGTAAGATTTGGACAATCCCTCTGTTTTAGCAAAAAAATACCTTATGAAATTCAAAATGTGCAAACGTAAAACTTTGTCCATTTTCTTACTGGGCTTTTTGCATTTGTGTTTTTGCTTAAATTCACTGATTTAAAAAAAAAGGTATGAACCACATCCTTCATGAGTTCAAGGATGAAATATGAACTCTAAAGGCAAGATCCTGTTTCTCTGCAAATGCACTTAATAATAATAAAACAGGGAAGGAGAATACAAAAAATGAATGGCTAGATAAGCAGCGTTGTCTCTGACTACTGTACAATGTTTTCCATAAGATGTCAGTGAGACAAAAAAAAGTCAAGCTTGTATTGTGAAATCATACAGTTATAGGAGTTAGAGATAGGAAAGATCTATTGGGTCATTTAGCGTATCCCCCTGTCAATGCAGGATTGTTCCCTATAATACATTTTCAAAATTGTTGATGTAAGCCTGCTTCTGAGTCCAGTTTCATTCAAGCAATACCTTCAAATGTCATATTGTACTATGGCAAATATTAATGATTATTTCTTTACAGCTACAACTTGTGATGGAAAATTTATGTTGACTGGCTCCTCTGGATCTTTCCACTCTATTAATTATCCAAAGCCTTATAATTCAAATATTGTTTGCCAATGGATTATACGGTAAGTAGCTTCAAAACATGTTGTTACCTAACATCTATTTGATTATAAGGTGTTCTCATTTCCTTTATATCAGAACTTATTCCTTGTGTTTTGTATTCTCTGTTAAGATGTCCCTGTAAAATGCACAATAGAAATTTATTCCATTTATGTACACAGCTTTCTTAAAACAAGGCATAAACTTCAAGAGTGAAATATACCATCAGTTTTCTCACTTAAGATATTTGATGCCTAAGGTGGTAGGGATGGTGTGAGAAATCTTGGGTACTGAATTTCTGTATATGGAAGTATTTGTCTGCTCTGGATAATTTGGGTGTATTGCCACTCAATTGACTCTCCATAGCGCAGAATGTTGTCTTTCATAAAAATATTACTGGAAATATTACCTTCAAAGCAATAGTTTTGAAAGTCAACTGTTGTTGACGAGTGGGATTTTAAGATGTTCCTAAGTGACTTAGGGGCACAAGTCTTTGCTGGAAGTCAATAGGACTTCTGTTCCTAAGTCACTTTGGCTCAGCTCTTCAAAGTTTTTTAAACACTTAACTCCCATTGATTTCAATGGGACTTATCTTCAAGGATCTGGGCCTTAGTTGCTTCTGAAAATCCCACTCCATGCCAAGTGACACACTCAAAAGTACTTTGAGAGGCAAAGGCTCTTGTAATAGCTTTGTAAAAGAGGACAGTCTTGTGATCCTCATGTTCCCAATGAGTGTGATTAAATTGGGAGTTAGACACCCAATTCTCACTGAAGCTCAGTGGCAGTTGGGATTTTAAATCACACAGGCTCCTTTGAAAGTCCCAGTCTTTGAGGTTGTTCTGTCACAGCAGATCCTTAACTTGCCCATTTATCTCAACTAGTCAGGAGTACATTTAAGTCTTGTGTTTTCCTTTTTATAAACACATTCATCACTCGTCAGCTTCTGATATCTGAAGTGCCATTCACTGGTAATTGCTGGCAAACACTAATTATCAGATATAGTGGGTATTATATATTAAGGGTCAGATTTTATCTTCAGATGCATGACATCTTATGCTCCTTAGCCTGATGTTTCCCAGAATTTGAAGCATAGTGAATAATTGTCTGGATAATGCTACCTCCAGGTGGCTGGTGAGGGGACCATACACTATACTCTTTCAAATGTTTCTGTAGAGGCTATGATTACTCCAAGAGGAATTATGATTATGCATGTGTGTCCAAATATGAACTGCTATTACCTGGCCCCTAGAGCAGTGGTTCTCAACCAGGGGTACATGTACCCCTGTGGGTATACATAGTCTTCCAGTGGGTACATCAACTCTTCTAGATATTTGCCTAGTTTTACAGCAGGCTACATAAAAAGCACTAGTGAAGTCAGTACAAACTAAAATTTCATACGACAATGATTTGTTTATACTGCTCTATATACTATACACCAGGGATCGGCAACCTTTGTCCTGCGGCCTGCCAGGGTAAGCCCCCTGGCAGACCGGGTCGGTTTGTTCACCTGCCGCGTCTACAGGTTCAGCCGATTGCAGCTCCCACTGACCGCGGTTCGCCGCTTCAGGCCAATGGGGGCGACGGCAAGCGACGTAGGCCGAGGGATGTGCTGGCCGCCACTTCCCACCACCCCCATTGGCCTGGAGCGGCAAACCACAGCCAGTGGGAGCTGCGATCAGCCGAACCTGCAGACGCGGCAGGTAAACAAATTGGCCCGGTCCGCCATGGGGCTTACCCTGGCGGGCTGCAGGCTAAAGTTGCCAATCCCTGCTATACACAGAAATGGAAATACAATATTTATATTCCAATTGATTTATTTTATAATTATAAGGTAAAAATGAGAAAGTAAGCAATTTTTCAGTAATAGTGTGCTGTGACGCTTTGGTATTTTTATTTCTCGTTTTGTAAGCAAGTAGTTTTTAAGTGCGGTGAAACTTGGGGGTAAACAAGACAAATTAGAGTCCTGAAAGAGGTACAGTGGTCTGGAAAGGTTGTGAACCTCTGATCTAGGGATTTTGGACCAAGATTTTCAAAACTGGGTGGCTAAAATAAGGCACCTAAATAAGTAGCCTGAGCACCCAACAGCTCTCAGTGACATCAGTGGAAACTGGTAGGTATTCAGCACTTTTGAAAATCGTGTACCTAAAAAAGAGTTTAGGACCCAAACTGTAGCCACCCAATTTTTAAAATATAGGCCTTGGTGCTGAATTTATCCTATTTAAACACATGGAATAAATTATGGCCCACATACCTACAAAAGATGGAATAAGGCATAAGGTCCCTAAAAGAGTCATTGGGGCTCTACCTGAATGAAAGTACCCCTCTGTGCTGGGGTGTCCATCCCAGACAAGGCTTGAAGGGGTTAAGCTGGCTATCAGGGCCAATGTACTTCCCAGGCAACACTTGGAGGAGGAGCCAGGGAGCAGGAATTAATTAGACAAGGCTCAGCTGGGCAGGAACAAGCAGGACCTGCATAAAGCCCAGGAGCTGAAAGCAGAAAAGGAATGCAGGGAAATAGACTCTAGTCACTTCCTGGAAAAAGGAAGGTGTGTTTGGGGGTATAGAGAAAAGTAGCCTAAAGTTACTCCCTAGGAGGAGGGAGGTGTGTGGCTGACAAACCCAGAGAAGGGGGAGAGCCAAAAGGTAAGGAAAGCCTCAGGGAAAAGGCAGTAAGGTCCAGGGTGGAACAGAGATTGGCAGCTAACTAGAGGGTCTCTGAGCTGGAACCTGGAGTAGAGGGTGGGCCTGGGTTCCCCTGCCAGCCTATGGGGAAGAGGCACAGACCAGGCAGTAGTGAGTGGACTCCCTTGGACAGTTTGCCTTGAAAGTCTTCGATGCCCCAGAAGGGGTGGCCCAAGTCACAAAGAGAAAGCTGCAGCTACTGAAGTAAGAGGCCACAGGTGAAAGAGGACGATGGGTGGAGAGACTGCCACAAGTGGGCACAGCACCTGGAAGGAGCTAAGCCCCAGAGTGGCCAGGAGGATGCACCCCTAATGGTGAGTGAACCCCATGACATCATCCCACAAAGGTCAGAGTAGGTCTGGATGAGAATGCTTTCATATTAAGATACTCCCACATCAGTAATCTGAATCAAAATCACCCCATCAGTTATTACTAACAATAATACCTAGCCCTTATATAGCAGATTTCTAGGGCTATGTCTTCACTACGGGGGGGGGGGGGGAGGGAGTCGATTTAAGATATGCAAATTCAGCTACGCGAATAGCATAGCTGAATTCGACATACCCGAGCCGACTTATCCCGCTGTGAGGACGGCGGCAAATCGACCTCCGTGACTCCCCCGTCAACGGCGCTTACTCCTACCTGTGCTGGTGGAGTACAAGTGTCGATTCGGGGATTGATTGTCGCATCCCAACGAGACGCGATAATTCGATCCCCGAGTGATCGATTTCTTGAAGACGTAGCCTAGCACTTCTCTGTCATGAAGTGTTGGGATTGTGCTGCATAGTGAATTGATAGATAAAGAAGCATAACAGATAACATGCAAACATAAGAGGGATTGTCCTGTATCTTGGGGTTTACCTTTGGATGCCACACCTCCCGGTGTAGTTGAGTTAAAGGCCTTTTAAAGGTTCATCTTCTATGTCCAACATTACAGTAATGATGCAGCAAATGTGTGTAGCTACATGTTTCTCAATGGGAAAAATAATCATCTAGTTTTATTCTTCAGTTCTCTGACTTAGAAAAGCCTGAGCACTTACAGTGAAAGCCTGAAAAGATCGGCTGGGTATCTCCTAACTCAGACACTGTCTTCTTTCAGGGCGCAATTGTTTCTTTGGGGAGTCTTTTGAATTTTGCAGTCACCAATGGAATGCATTTTATGTTATTCTTGCTAGAAAATCTTTATTAGAAAAAAATCAACATGCAGCACAACCAACTTTGATCTTTTCCCATCCTTTCCTTCTCTACTAAGTAACCAGAAAGCTCAGCAGTGACCCCTGTTAAAATATGTTTTCCGTTTTCCCTTTTCTATTTGTTTCCTTACAAAGACATAATTTCATCTTTTTTTTTACTCAAAGCATAAACATAATATGATACCAACAGTGTGGTCAATTTCACTCCATCATATTTAATTACACAAGTTCTCCCCCAGCGCATTTACTTTTCACAGCATTCTTCATCTTTTCATTTTCATAAATATATATATTTATGTTTCTATCTGTGCACAGCCACAAAAGAAAAATAAAAAGGAGTACAAGCTGCATGAAACCTTGTTCCATGTGTATCTCCTAACTCGTTCTGACAGGCATGTTGAGACTGTTGCTTTCAAATCGTATTTGGACTTCCGCTGGGAATCAACCATAGAGAAGAACAAATTAATGGTTCTATTGGAAAGATTAATTGATTTTGGCAGTGGAGTTATGGATCTTGGACCATCATGTATTTCTGATGGGGAGAGTATGAAGAGAATCATTTAGAAAAAATATGGAGAATGTGATGGGGGGAATAGGATGCAGCACTTGTGATATTGAACTGATGCAGCAGACTGCTGTGCGATGCTTAGAAGTGAAGGCATAGAGCCAACTTGTAGGTTGGACAGCCCCGGTTCTTCTGAACTTAAATTGTGGTTTTGGAACAAGGAGGAAGGTAACATGGACCAAGTGACAGATTCTGAAATCTTTACTCTTGTTGATTATCGCAATACTCCACAAAAGTTCATTTGACTTAAATGAGGCTACTTGGGGATTAAGGTGATACTCATCATGAGCCAAGTATCAAAGATGGCCACAAATTAGCAACCAGTTTAAAAAAAAGAGCTATCCATTTCAACTCCTGATTCCAAATTATTAGACGGTTCAAACCCTGAAGTAAACGTTTTATGTATGTAAGGAATCTGTAGGCTCTGGCAGTAACCAAGGTTATGTGTTATCACTATATGAGAATTTGCCTGAGCATTAAGGCCTTTTAGAAAAGATAGAACAAATGGCCAAGAGAATAAAAACTCAAGATCTAACAGCTAGGTTTCTTCAATAGTTTGAGAAAAATCAGAGTTGCTACAGGCTTTTGCAGGAGTGTACGGATGGAGCTACAGAGACTTCCCCTTTTTCCTGTCTGTGAATGAATGAATGAATTAAAAATTGATTTAATATCAAACATTAATATTATATTATGTGCCAGATACAGTAGTGAAATAGGAAACTTAATTAAATCTAATATTATGATTAAAATGTATGTAAAAGGAAAGGCAACTATAGGTGATACAGTTTGGGGCAAAATATTGAAGACTTTAATGACAGGGTTTATTCATGCGCAGTATTGTCAGGAAAGAAAGTGGTTGTGTTCATACTGATCTATTTTAGTTTAAGTGATAAAATAAGCCTAATGTTTGCAATCAAGCATGCTTATGCTGTCAAGCTAATGAAATACACCTGTAGTGAGAAAGGCAATAAATAAAAGAAATTGAAACCGAACAGTGAGTTTATAAGGACACTTGAGCACAGAGTGGAATAATCAGAAATGTAACTGGTTATATATAATGCATGGACTCAGCTCAGCCATACATACCAAGGTCTCACCATTGTTGTTGAAAGAAGGAGAACAAAAATGGAAGATTTATACAGCTGTTTTGGCCTGTTGGAGAACAACAGTTCTTGAACTGATTTTGCATTGTATAATGGACTGTTATAACAAGTTTAAAGAGTATCAAAGAATATGGATGGACCTTGTATAAATGATATGAACTTTGAGGATTTCAGCAGCTAGCAGAGTTGCTGAAGAAGCTGCAACTTGAGCAAGCATAACTGCAAAGTTAGCCAAAAAGATGCACCGCAAAGTGGGTCACAGAAAGCAATCTGTGGTGGTTAGTTGCTGACCAGAGCAAACCAGCTAGTGTTCAAGATACGTCTCAAGATGGTTGCATCAACAGCTATGACCTAACTTGCTGTACACAAACTGGTGTAACAAAGCGTGTTGCATAAAATGCCGGAAAATTCCAATCCCAGTTGCAAGAACTCAAAAGCTGATGTCTCGTTCCCTGAGAGAATGATGAGAAAGGACAACTCTTATTTTGGTTGGTCATTTCAAATCTTCTGAAGTAGTATGGGTCACCATCTGATTGGTCCATTCCAGCATCTCCAAGAAAAGGGATAAAGTTGAACCACCCAGCAGAAATGGGATCAAAGGACCTGTCCCCAATAGAAATGGGATCAAAGGGCCTGTCTTTTTCAGTACATCAGTTCCTGAAAACCAAAGACATCTGGACTAAGGTCCTGGACCAGCCACCAGGGACTCCTCCTGCTGACATTAAGTATCTTGGATAGAAGTCTTTAACTGAATGTTTCTATTTTCCAGCAATTCTGGTTGCCTACTAGAGCACTGGGGAAAAACTATAGTTGTGTCTGTCTTTTGCTCCATCTGTATTCGCAATGTGAACACCTACTGTGAATGATAACTGAGCTAAAAAGTTGACCACTAAGCAAAGATCAGGTGATACAGACTTTCTCTTAGGTGATGACCCAAATCAGTCAACTGACCACTTCTTGAAACTAGGTACCTACTTAGTAAGGAAGTGTACATGCTTGTATATGTGCTTTAAAGAATGTCAGAGTTATAGTGTGTGTCCTTGTTTTGTAATAGGTTCCAATCAAGATTATTGTAAAGTAGCTTTAGAAATGAAAGTTTGTGTTGTTAACTAAGATTGTAAAAAAAATGTGCATTCAGCTACCGTAATGAATGGTTGCATACTGCCTTTTAAATTCTAGGTGTATACAGACATAAAATGAGACCAAGTATACAAGATTCTTGTACTACACTCAGTCTATACAGTTTGTCATAAAGGTATGCGTTTGTTAGATGGTTAGGAGTGTTAGTTAGATCCTGGGGCTAATATAATTCATTGGGAAATAGGTAATAAGAGTTGACTACTATAGATCCATTGGGAAAGAGAAGTTGGTTATGAAGAATTGTTATGAAAGTAACTGACCAAACTGTGTTGTGATTTAGCTTTGGATTGTTTTTTCCTCTCTGTTAGCAACATCGGAGTTGATAAACAAATGACACAAGTGGGGCCCTGTTCTAAGGGATTCCTGGTCAAATATCTAAACTGAGTCACCTTCCTAAGATAGTAATTGAGGATAAATATTATTTTCTATTGTGGTTGTTTAATTTGATTCTGAAAACCTGAATGGTTATATCAACCAATTTTTTAGTTTGTGTTATCCAAATCATAGTCCTACACTAGTTTAATCTTCCTATATCAGGGATCGGCAACCTTTGGCACGTGGCTCGCCAGGGTATGCACCCTGGCGGGACAGGCCGTTTTGTTTACCTGCCGCATCCGCAGGTTTGGCCGATCGCGGCTCCCACTGGCTGCAGTTTGCCACTCCAGGACAATGGGGGCTGCGGAAAGCGGCACGGGCCAAGGGATGGTTGCTGATACCTGTCTTATAATATTAGTTTCTTCTGGTAAGAATATTTAATAAAAAACTATAAAACTAAAATTCAACTCTTGAGTCCATTTCTCTAGTTAAGCAAAATTAAAAGAAACCTAAAAAAGGTGGTATGGATAATCAATTAAGCAGTTGCTTAAGTGAGGTTTGTTTTATACCCTATCTTTCCTACAGTTTCCACTGTTGAAGAGGCTTCCTCTCTGTTCTCTTTTGCTATTGTACAAAGTGTAATGCTTCATCTCAAATTTCACCGTGATTAGCACAGATTAGAAAAGCTGATAATGCCATTCCCATAACCTTTCTGAACTATCTATTAAACAGCCTTCATATAAACAGTCCATTTACTACAGACAAGGAAAATTACTAAAACATATAATCTTCCTTTTTTTCTTTTGTTTTTATTATTTTAGTACAAATCAAGGATTATCCATTAAACTAAACTTCACTTCCTTTGATACCCAACAATATGTGGACACTTTAAATATTTATGAAGGTACAGGACCAAGCAAGATTTTAAGAGGTAAGGCAGTATTACTTTTCAGTCATTATATTTTGAGGTGAATCAAATAAATGCATATAGTTGTCCAGATTACATTTTTCTCTGAAGATTTGTGATCAAAACATATTTGCTTACTCATTTAAAGTGACTTGCTAAATGTTGTTTGAAGATACAAAGGAGAGATGCTTTATTTGGCTTAGGGTCTAAATAAATCAGAAGATCACCAAGGCATAGTATTTACCACTGTGTCCTATTTTAAAGAAGTGGGATTCCACCTGTATTTTACCGGAAAAAAACCCATTTAAGCAATTTCCATATTTTGATAAGGGGTTTTAATACATATTTAGAGAAAAAGTAGGGAGGTTTCCTTATCATTATAGTCTTCTTTGCCTTTGTAAGCGAAGGGAAATGTGCACTACAAATAGTGTCTGGATGGGGAAGGGGATATATAGTGAAGAAAGACAAAATTCTGCCTCTGTGACATTATCTCACCTCACCCTTATACATACATGGTTCCTTTGTGGGGGATCAGGAAGTTTCAATTGGGAGATCCCTTGGTAGTATTGCTTCTGCAGCAGCCATGCTTCCCAGGAGCTGAAGGAATTGTTGGGGGAAAGATCTGGTGGTAGTATAAAGGCATAGGATACCTATATGCACTTTACCACCATTAGCTCTTTCCAAGATCTGTAGATCCAGGGGATCTTCCATGGGGCACTGCATATCCCATGAAGGAAGAATTACAAGGGATTTCCACACAGAGTTTCCATTCTGCTAAGAAGGAAAAAACTGTGGAAGGGAAGAATTTGGTACAAACATATCTATATCACCCTCGTTTTAAATGATCATTTTGGCATATTTTTAAAGATTTCATAGAATCATAGAATATCAGGGTTGGAAGGGATCTCAGGAAGTCATCTAGTCCAACCCCCTGCTCAAAGCAGGGCTAATCCCCAACTAAATCATCCCAGCCAGGGCTTTGTCAAGACTGACCTTAAAAACCTCTAAGGAAGGAGATTCCACCACCTCCCTAGGTAACCCATTCCAGAGCTTCACCACCCTCCTAGTGAAAAAGTTTTTCCTAATATCCAACCTAAACCTCCCCAACTGCAAATTGAGACCATTACTCCTTGTTCTGTCATATGCTACCACTGAGAACAGTCTAGATCCATCCTCTTTGGAACCCCCTGTCAGGTAGTTGCAAGCAGCTATCAAATCCCCCCTCATTCTTCTCTTCTGCAGACTAAACAATCCCAGTTTCCTCAGCCTCTCCTCATAAGTCATGTGTTCCAGCCCCCTAATCATTTTTGTTGCCCTCCGCTGGACTCTTTCCAATTTTTCCACATCTTTCTTCTAGTGTGGGGTCCAAAACTGGACACAGTACTCCAGATGAGGCCTCACCAATGTTAAATAGAGGGGAATGATCATGTCCCTTGATCTGCTGGCAATGCCCCTACTTATACAGCCCAAAATGCCGTTAGCCTTCTTGGAAACAAGGGCACATTGTTGACTCATATCCAGCTTCTCGTCCACTGTAACCCCTAGGTCCTTTTGTACAGAACTGCTGCCTACCCATTCAGTCCCTAGTCTGTAGCAGTGCATGGGATTCTTCCATCCTAAGTGCAGGACTCTGCACTTGTCTTTGTTGAACGTCATCAGATTTCTTTTGGCCCAATCCTCTAATTTGTCTAGGTCCCTCTGTATCCTATCCCTAACCTCCAGCATATCTACCACTACTCCCAGTTTAGTATCCGCTTGATACCAGCTGCCAATTAGACATGGAGCTATTGATCACTACCCATTGAGCCCAACGATCTAGCCAGCTTTCTGTGCACCTTATAGTCCATTCATCCAGCCCATACTACTTTAACTTGCTGGCAAGAATACTGTGGGAATTTATAGAATTAAAATGGGCAAAACATTCCTCTCCAGGATAACACATACTTGCTAACTGTATGAAATTGTCTAAACATTGAGGAAGGAAGAGAGCCTAGCCTAAACTCCACTTCATAATGGAAACTGGGAGTCCAGGATTTGCCTCTCCCTGGTTATATTATAATGCAGTGGCTCATAAAATAGGACCCGATCCAATGCCAATTGAAGTTAATTTGAGTCTTTCTACTGACCTCAGTTGGGTATTGGCTCACGCTCATAACCAGGAAACTAATTACATGACTGAGTTACTTATTGCATTACCCCTTTAGTTTCATAAAGAATTTTTTAGAATTCACAGCCATATATGACTTTTGACTACACTGTAATTGTTTTTGTTATATTTTTCATAGTTTTATGATGTATACATTATTAAAAAAATAAAACTACAAAGTAATCATAGTGTATTTAAAGTTCTTTGATTCTAAAAATAAAAGTATTAATTACCAAACCATGGGGATAAACTCAAGTAATGAAATCATGTGGTCAACCTTCTGGTCTTAGAGTTTTGGAGTTTATACATGTATCAAAAACTCCAGAATATTTATAGGGAAATAAGTATGAAGTTGAAGAGCTAATATGTGACTAGTTAGATATTGCAAAATGCAATTAAAGCACAACCACAGTTTAATTACAGTTATTATATTAGAAAATGTACTTTGTTCACTAGCTGGCATCTGTGCTGAAGTTAAAGTAAGATGGATGTGCAGATCTGAGGGCAGAGCTTTACCTCACAAAAGTAATTATATTTTAGCTAATTAGAAAAATGCTGTTTTGTTTGTTTTTTTTAGCTAGAGCCACCACTTCTGTAAAGAGGGATTTATTCAGAATTGAAAGAAACAGTCATACTCACTCTCTCTTTATAATAGCACCCTCATTTTAAGTGACATCGAATTACCTTCTGGAATTTTTTTATTTATTCTTAGCTTCGCTCTGGGGGACTAATCCTGGAACAGTTTACATTTTTTCTGATGAGGCTACAGCGGAGTTTATTACAGATTATTCTGAAAATTATAATGGATTCAAAGCAACATATACCACATTTCGTACCAGTGAGCTAAGCAGTAAGTGTCTTTTGTCCTTTGTTATTTCTCAACAGCAAAGGCTGATGAATCTGTATTTTGTGTTTGATAAAGGGAGAAAGTAGAGATATTGAGAGCAATGAACTGATACATCTTATGGACCAGTTCTGCAACTGGATCCATATTCATGGGCCCTTCTGCTTCTTTGAAGCTCCATTGACTTCAACATGAATCTGTGTAGCCTTAAGATCTGTCTATGTGGAACTGATTATAGTATCAAGGCATTATGATATTATCTATATTATAGGTTTCATAAAAACTAAAGCTTGTGGATATGTCATAAGAAATATATTTAAGAATGAGCAATTGAAGATCATTGGCATTACCATTTGTTCTTCAGTATCTGCTCACTTGAGGGTGAATTAAACTGTGTAGTTACAGGTGACTTAACTCATTGCAATGAGTGATGATCCTAGAACAGATAAAGCAAATAGAGGAGCATATCAGCTTCAGTCAATAGACATATTGGAAGAAAATCTGAATGTAGCCAATCTGTTTGTGACAAATGAAGGACAACTACATGAGTTAAGCTTAGATGTTTCCAGATATTCAGGGAAAAAATAGGCATAGGCTGGACAGGTGGTTGCTGTCTAGGATGCTACATTTTGAGGGTGAGGGAGGGGGTGAGGAGGGCATGACCCCGGGAGAGAATATGGCTACATGAGGCAGCTGGCTGGCCAAGATTCCTGTGCTCTGGGAACCCTTGCATAAGGTGTGAGCTGCAATAGAAAGTATGGTGGGCAGAAGACAAGATCCCTTTCCTATTGGGGAACAATACTGAGCAAGATAGTGTGAGAGAGAAAAAGAATTGTGGAAGCCTTCAAAAGAACAATGCTGGAGTGAACACAGGGAAAGGGGAAGAAAAGAGAATGGGATATTGTTGAGCTATGGAGCATCAAAGGAATTCTTAAGTGCTTGAGCACTTAGAGTCAACTCCATGGATACTGCAGCACATAAAGGAGTTTAGGCTCATTAGGAAAACATATACACTGTTTCAACTTTATAATGTTGCTCCTGAGTGGAGTGAATCAAAAATGGCCATATGTTGCAGTCCTCATAGGCACTCTTTAAAAATCCAAACTCTGTTTTTTCATAGAAATGAACAGTTGGATATGCTGATGAAATCATCAGTCTTACACTCTTATCTGATATTATTCACAGATAATGAAAAAATTAACTGCAATTTTGAAGATGGCTTTTGTTACTGGAATCAAGATTTAGAAGATGATGGTGAATGGGAGAGAATTAATGGGCCCACCTTTCCATTTATGTCTGGCCCTGATTATGATCATACATATGGCAACTTGTCAGGTAAGAACAAATTATAGCAAAGAGTTTAATAGAAGGAACATCCAAAGAAAAAAGTTAATTTTAAACAAATAGAGACTGTTCATGGGCTGCACATTTTGAATTAGTAATTGTGAATACTCATCCTAGAAAACTGAATCTGAAGTTTCTGCTTATTCAATGGGTAAACAAAAATATCCCCATATGATCTGTCAGCCCAATCAATACTAATCATTGTAGTTTGAATTTCACTTTGAATAATCACAACAAACACTTTGTAAGACTGAGAATTATTCAGAATTTATTCAGTGATTAATTAAATACAGAAAATTGTAATTTGCTGAAATATAAATTACTTACAGAAAAAGAAGTAAATTGCCTAATACGTTATTTGGTATAAAGTATTAATCTGGCTGTAATACATAAATGTGCCCCCCCTAAACAGTCTTGAGAACAGTATCTTATTTTCATTCTCAAATTCTGCAAGCCAAATCAGTTGAAATAACATGGAATTCATTTAGTAAAGCATTTGGCAGTGATTTTCAACTCTGAATTTTTCATTTATTCTAGATGTTTCCTCTTTCACCTCACTAGAGCTAAACTGACAGTTCTTATATGCAATAATACCATTATTTCAACATTCAGATTTCTACTGCCTCCCTTTGATGTAAACATATGAGCTGGCATCATTATACACAGATATTAAAAATTTTCAATTTTGTTCGCTTCTCTCCAAAAAAGCAAAAGAGATAATACACATTCAACAAGCCTCAGAACCAAATCAGCATAATACTTCAAACCTACACTAGAAAAGATTTACTTTCAACTTAAATTAGATTTAAATCTCACCTCACTTTCTTCACATCATATTGTATTAAACGGTGCCATGCCTCATGCCAAAATGATGCATGCTACATAATAATACATATAAACAGCACAAACTCTAAAATAAAACTATATGTATTATTGGACAAGTTTCCCCAAATTGATTCAGATTGCTCAGAGAATTAATGAACCAAGGATCAGAAAGAAGTACATTGCTTGAAATATTTGCAGACATTTTCAAAATAGGGATGACATGTTCTTCTTCGAGTGATTGTTCACGTCCATTACACATTAGGTGTACACGCGCCGCGTGCACGGACGTCGGAAACTTTT